AAAAAAAAAAAAATACAGACTAAAAGGAAAGTGGTAAATAGAATTTATTCTGCTTTTTTCCTATATAAGTGTTACTTAATAACGTAAGCAGGTACTTCACAAAAGAAATACACAAAGCTAAGATGAATGAACAATTGATAATTATAATTAATGAATAAAATAAGAGGCTCAATCTATTACAAATACAGAAATGAAATTCATGGTATACCATTATACAGAATTTAGATCAAATAAAGCATTAAAGGATCTTAGCACAGCACTGAGATGAGCTGCAAAGATGAGAACACTCACCCAGTGATGAGAGAAGTGGAAATTAATGGAAAATATACAGAAAAATGGCTTAATCCAATATGGTATATGTACAACAATGTTCATAATCTTATCATCTAGCGTTTCATTCTCAATTGTATAGTACGAGAAATTTTTTCACATGTATATAACTAGGAAGCATGTACAAGAATGCATAAAATTAATATAATAGAAATGAGTGAAGCATAGCTACATACAACTGACTCTCCATTTTTTCATTTTCTCCTATTTTTTTTCCTTGCCCTTATTACCTTTCCCCTACCCTTCCCACTTTCCCTACACCTTTAGTGACTCTCAAACCTTACATTAAGCAAAAGAAATAAACAGATCATATAAGAACATGTACTAACAAAAATAAATGCATTAGAAAAAATTTTAAAATTGTACTGTATGATTGCATTACATAAAATTCCAAAACAGCAAGACCTCCACATATTGCTCAAAGATATATACATAGCCAATAAGGAGAAAGAACAGGAGAGCATGATTAATATCAAGTTGGGGGATCAGTATGATGGTACCCTATGATTATTTTATAAAAGAGCTTTTAAAAACACAAAAAACTAAATGGTTTTAACTGACTTTGTGCCTTCCTCGAGACAGAAGTTCAGTGAAGCAGTGAAACTGAAAGAATAGATAACTGTTATGAGAATATTCAAAGACCATTAATATAAAGGCTCAAGCTAATCTTTAAAATCCTTTAGAAGGAAAATATTCTACTCAAACCCAGAGAAAAATACTTCAAAGTCATCCTTTCCTATCTTGAATATAATAATTTTATGATATTATTTTCTCCTTAATTGTTGGTTTAAAATCAGTAGTTACAGCTTTATTATATTAGTAAAAAAAAAAAAAGAAAACAACTAAAATATAGGATCAACAATATGTATGCGTGAGTCCATGCAATGCACTGCATAAATGTTTGAGTACATACAGAAGAACCTGGAAAAAACAACGTAAATTGTCAACTGGGCTCATTTAGAGACTAGAAAATAAAGTAGAAACATGGAGTTTCCCTTGTACCCTGTATCATTTTTTTCTTTCATAAACAATTTTGTATTAATTTTTGTTTTAGATTACTATCATTCTTTTCTTAAAACCCACTGTTACTGGTAGAGAAATAAAAGTAAAACGTACTCACTGTAACAAATACAGATTAGTTAGCAAAAAAGGAAGCAATGAGTCTTAAAAAGAGAAAAATTCTGTCATTTGGGACAATATGGCTAAACCTGGAAGACATTATATTAATGAAATAAGCCAGCTAAAAGATGATAAACATTGTATAATCTCACTTGTATATGAAATCTAAAAAAGTTAAACTCATAAAAACAGAATACAATGGTAGTTACCAAAACCTAGGGGTAGAGTGGGTTTAAAGGATGTTAACAGTTCAGTTAGGAGAAATAAGTTCAAGAAATCTACTGCACAACATGTTGACTAAATTTAATATCATATTTTTTAATACCACTGAGATATTTCATATATTCTCACCACAAAAAATGTTAAATATGAGATGTTAATGAGCTCAATTTAGCCATTCAACAAAGAATATTTTAAAATATGTAAACAATGTATAGTTTTTATAAATTAAGAAAACAATTTAAAACATGAGAACAAAAAGTATAGATAACAAAGATAAAAATAAGTTACCCATAAATCTACCCAAAAGGGACAATTATGGATTAAAGGACATAAAAAGAAATTCATTCTTACCTTTATAAGGTGTTGCTACAGTTGTTGCATACATATTCTTTTCATACTTCTTTAAACGGTCTTCTAAATTGTGAATCTAAAAATAATAAATACTCAAGCTATATAACAAGATTCATATGGAAACTGTAAGTAAGAAAAAAGAACTCCTCTATCCACTACATTTTTCGGGGATGGGGGTACTGGGGATTGAACTCAGGACCTTGTGCTTGCAAGGCAGGTGGTGGAACTATTGAGCTAAATCCCTGGACCTCCACTAGATTTTAAAAACAGAGTACAAGCAAACCATAGTAAAAGAAACAGTTTCTCATATAGGAGCCAAAAGTACAGACAGTAAAAAAATAAAATAAAATTAATTTACTAAAATTAGAAAATTTCTGTATATCAAATGATACACATAAGAAACTGAAGACAGTTGCATATTGTGGCACACACCTGCAGTTCCAGCTATGTGGGAGGCTGAGGCAAAAAAATCACCAGTTCAAGGACAGCCTGATCAATTTAGTGAGACCCTGTCTCAAATAAAAATTTAAAAAATAAAATTAAAAATAAAAATAAAAAAGGACTGAATCCCAGCTCAGTGATAGAGCACCTCTAGGTTTAATCCACAGAAGAAAGGAAGAGAGGGCGGGAGAGAGAGAGAAGACAACCATGAAGGCTGCTCAACATGGTTAGTCATTAGAAAGATACAAATTATCTCTTTCATATTAACTCAGATGGCTACGGTAAAAAAGAAAACTTGGTGAGGATATGGAGAAATTTTAGTCCTTATTCATTGTTGATACAATATAAAAGTTGCAGGTGCTATGAAAAACAGTATTTTTAAAAAGTTACCCAGTCATGAAAGCAGAAATGTGTAATCCCAGCACTCTGAGAGGTTGAAGCAGGAGAACTGCCAAGTTCGAGCCCAGTGTGGGCAAGTTAGCAATTTAGTGAAGTCTGTCTCAAAATTTAAAACAGTGAAACTTAAAAAAATAGGCTGGGATGTAGCTTGGTGTTATAAAATCTGGACTTGGCCCCAATACCACTGGGGAAAAAACATAGACTTATGTGAACATGCAATTCCACTCCTGAGTATACATACACAAAGGATAAGAAACAGGTGTTCAAACAAAAATTGAACACAAATATTCTACCAATACTGTTCACTAAAGCCAAAGGGTAAAAGCAACCCAAATATCCACCAACTGATGAACTGATAAACAACAGTGGTATATCCATATAACATGGTATTATTCAGCCTTAAGAAAGAATGAAGTACAGTATTAATATATGCTACAACATAGAATATTGAAAACAGTAAGCTAAGTGAAAGAAGCCAAATATAAAAGGTTATGTAATATATAATTCCATTATATAAAATACACAGAGTTGGCAAATATTTTAGAGATAGTGGTTGCCAGGGACTGGAAAGAGGAGGTAATAAGGGAATGACTGCTTAATGGGTATAGTTTCTTTTTGGTGTGTGAAATGTTCCAAACTAAATAGTGAATAATTAATGATAATTGTGAATAAATAATGTAATGAATTATACATTTTAAAGTGTAAACATGGTGAATTTTATGTTATGTGTATTTCATCACAATAAAAAAGCTAAAAATTGTTATGCTATGATAGTTCTGAAAGATGTAAGGATGCTAAAAGAAGACAATTTTAAAGCAATAATCTTCATAAATGGGAAAAATGAAACCATTTAAAAAGTAGAAAAAATAAAGTAGCATTGGAACTTAGTACCTCACTATGAATTTTTTAAAAAATATTAAAACTTTAAAACATAGTCAAACAAGGAAGGCACTGTACATTTAATGTATATGCACCAATTTATCCCCCAGTTTCAACAATTATCAAGATTTCAGATCTGTACATATTTGAAGAGAAATGGAAAACTCCTTGAGATTTAGCCTTCAGCCTATTCACTTGAGGCAGAGTTTAGAAAAAGACTTCACTAAAGATCATGCAACAGGGATGGGGATTTGGCTCAGAGATGCTGCCACCTGCCTCACTACCCACCTCACAAGAACAAGGACTGGAGTTCGATCCCCCATAACAACAACAAAAAAAATCATGCAACAGAGATACATATACTGATGGTACCTGTTTGTGCTACACTCTTGGGTAGCTTGTACATATACATTTAAACTGAGTTACATACACTGCCCATGGATAATGGATGGACAAATCATATATTAAATGAGGACAACTTAACCACTAGGAAAAAGCTTAGATTTAACTTAGATTTAAGTTATTATAAATTACACGAAACGAAATTGTTATCCAAAATATCAAACCCCAGGAATAATAGGATGTAAATGCTCTTGTTTAAATGTATGTGATCCTGAATTTATAGAAATAGCCCCTAGCATCTGTGGATTTGGGAAATAGAATTTGCTGAATAAGACAGGAGTTCAAAGCCAACTATTTTTAAATTGGTTAAATAAGAACTAAGTACTTATCAACATAAATTAAGTTAGCTCAAAAGAAAATGTACCAATTAGCCTGTACCTGTTCTCTGAACTCTTGCTCCTTCAACTTTGAATCACTGATTACAGTCGTTTTCTGTGCTAGTTGCGTCTGGAAAAACCAAAAGTCTGATTTGAAATGCATATTGGGTTTCATCATTGCCTGTACATCCTTCTCTATCGCTTGAGAAATTTTTTCATGTTAAAACAGACTCTTTGCATTTTTAACTCATAAAAAAGAATATTCCTAAAATTTACTAACTTCAGGCAAATACAATGAAAAGCTAATCCTACCTGTAGGGCCATTATTGTTACCTAAGAATGGAAAAGAAAAAAAATTAGTATATTTCCTAAAATTAAACAAATAACAACTATTTAAAGCATATAGGTTCTTTAGGGAAATCTTGAAGAACTTTTTCTGGGAATCCATTATTACAAATTATTTTTTAATGGAGCTCAACATTGATATGTAATTTAAGACATTTAGAAGCCAGAAACAATGGTGTACATCTACAAACCTATCTTCTTGGGAGGCTGAGATGAGAGGATCACTTGAGCCCCAGAATTCCAGACAAGTCTGGACAACATAGTGGAAGACCATTTCAGGGGAAAAAAAATCAGAAGTCACCTAGAAGTATCAAAAGATGCTGAAGGAAAAGGATAAAGATCAATGAAGAATAAATTGAAAAAACTGTTTATAGTAGACACAAAAAAATAAAGCTATTTTCTTTCTTTTCTAATGAAAGAAGGTAAAGGACTCGGCAATCTTGTGAATACTAATTTCACAATGTTTCAATATTCTATAGATCCTGACACTGGTTAATATGCTACCATATGCAATATTAATACTTATTTTGATACTATGAAGAAGTTTATGTTGGTAAAATAAATTATTTTCTCATAAGAAGCAATATTTAATATTATTTGATATATCCAAATCATGACCAGATGACCAAAAACTATATAAATAAAATAAACAGGACTTAATGCTATCTTTAAAAGGGGAAAAATGGTCCACTCAACTTTGTGAGTGCTTATTATTAAGGTACATCTACTAAATGGCAGCTCACAGCAAAATTCTTTTATAAAGGTTCTTCTTTGCATTTTGGGAAGTGATCCACGGAATTAGTTGTCTAGAAAATTTCTATTTGGAAACTGACATTGTGTCAAACTGACACTGTGACATTCTCTCAAGTATAAGTCATGAAGAGTGTCTACCTACAACAATTTTGTTTTTAGAATTACATGTATTTCTTTTTAAAAATGCCTACATACACAGCACCAATTCTTTCTTTAAATTAGGTCCAATTTTCCAAAATCATCCCACTGTATCTGCATCTAGTCCATTAACCAAGGGAAAAAAAGCATGAATTTTATGCAACTACAACTCAGAATATATTGTAAAGTAGCATATAAACTTTTCATGAAATTTTAGCACAACACATAAAATTAAAAACATTATGCTTGGTATGCACCACTTTTCGCTATGACCAAGGCTATGAGGTTCACTTTTTTCTGCTATTTTTATTTCCCCATGGAAAGAGAAAGAAGCACAGACAAGTAAAACTTTAGGCTTTGAAGTGTGGTAGACCTTGGATTGAATTTCTACCACAACATGTATTGTATGAGCTTGAATATTTAAGAGCTTGAACATTTTATTCAATCTCTTTGAAGCTTAGTTTTACTATCTGTAAAAGGAACACAAGAATATCTTCTTAGCATTTTTGTTAGGATTAAATGGGATAAATATAATATTAGTAAATGAGTCAAATCATAGAATTGACAACATTTTCAAGAAATAGGCAGAAAGTGCTGGGGATTTAGCTGAGTGGTTCCGCCGCCTGCCCCGCAAGTGCAAGGACCAGAATTTGATCTCAAGTACCAAAAAAAAAGGAAACATGCAGAAAACTCAAAATTCCTCTCACATTATCAGTGCCAGCATTATTCTCCTGCTGTAGCTTTCTTTCCTGCTGGCATTTCTTCTGCAGTTCCTCAAGTTGAGTTTGCAGGTCCATTACTTTTGCAGTCATTTCTTCTTCACGAGCCTTTAGAATAAAATAACAACAATTATTATGTGTTAATAACATCAAAAGAACATTGTAGAAAGGCATCAAGATATAAAACAAACTACCTCTGTAGAAGAAATAAGTTTTTGAGACACGCAGTACTATTTTTAATTTATTGCTATGCTCTAAACAGTTTCCTCCACGTCTTAGTAACTATAAGCTCTTTGTAATGCGGCTAATTACTCCAAAGATACCATTTTTCTTACTCTTACTCCATCTGTTTTCACCTGACAAACATCATCAAACTGTTTCTTTAAACTAAGGTTCTCAGGTCTTAAGCATGAGATATATAATCCTTTTGTGACTATGTAATACACAACCTGTGTTTTAAGACTGGCATTTTCTGTATTTACATTTGACTTCCAGAAAATATTTGTTAAAAATAAAGTAGTAGGTATGTTTACACACAAAACTGTTGATCCACCTGGCAACTTAACTCATCACAAGTTGTGGAGATGTTTTGTTTTTGTTTTCACCCTGTGTAGATAAGCTGTATAAAGTCAATGGCTGGTTTTCTGTCCAAGTTTGGCCAAGTCCGCACGTCTCCTATACATCTACCTCACATGATATCTGTGGTCTTTTAGGGGTAAAATGTTCAACTAAAATCATTTCTTCAAAATTATTTACTGTTTTTAAAAAAACAAAAACAGAAAAGTCCAAAGTAAAAAAGTATTATTTGACTTTTTGGCCAAATGATCCTACTTGGAAAAGTGGGCATACAAATCATTCTCTCGTTTTGATCACCCTGGTAAAAAAAAAGACTGTTGCCCATCCCTATAGTCTTTCATTTGTCTTGGTAAATACTGAAATTTATTGTACAGAACAATCTAGACTTCTCAGGCCTATAAATTTTTCAATAACCTCTCTGCTAAAAGAACATTTGGAATTGGAATATTGATCTGACTTGAGTAATGAAGACAAGCATTTGCTGAGTAAGAGACTTAACAGGAAAACAACCACAAACAGGTATCTGATTTAACAGATGTTGACTTTTCAGAAAGAGAAAAATTTCCAACACAGATAGTTGATTGGGCCCTGTGACACAAAGTAAGGTACTGAGCCATAGGATGCTTGGAAAATCTCATTTTAAGTAACACTGGTCATAAAACTTTCTTAGACTGGTTGAAACATCCCTTTTTTCAACATAAGCAAAGCAGAGATTTCTAGTAATTAGCCTCCTTAGATATCTCCACACTGTGGCAAATATTAATCTGGCTTCCAGGCCTAAAACATTGACAAATAGGAATTGTGAAATATGAATGTTAGGTAGATACTCTGTCTTTGAGCTACTTCCCCAGCCAACTAGTCTTCTTTAAAACAATAACAACAAAAAATCAAACTGGATACAATTTCCACTATATACTATTCTCAACTATACTTTACTCTGATCTTTTAGCACAACACCTGCATTAGTTTCTGAAGTTCTAGAATGTGATTTCATGTACACAGAAAAGCATGAGCAATGGTAAAATATGGTGAAGAACAAGCTGAAGTTGAGTTTAGCCAGGACACACACTGAACTGGAAGAGGTATCACTGAAACAAGGACATATTTAGGCAGAGAAGTAATATGATCATATCTTTGTTGCAAGATAGACAATAATTCTGACTGGGAAAAAACAGATATATTGGGTGGTAGGTGGTAACAAGGAGAATGGGAAATTTAACACAGCAGAGTGGACCAGATAAAAAATGGTAGCCCCAACTATAGCAGTAACTATAATTAAGAGCAGAGGAACACGAAATATGATTCAACAACAACAACAACAAAAACACATCCTGAGGACATACTATATATTGAATATTGTGCTAGAGATAAAAGATTTCCTGTCCTAAAAGGTGTGTGGGTGCCTATGTGCGAAGAACTTAAGGAAGTGGGAATCAAGAATGGCAAAATTTCCTAGCACAGCTTCTTTAGACTGGAGAAAAAGAGGATGACTTAAGATAGGAAAGACAGGAAAATTATCTCTATGCTCAAATTTGCTTTTATAAATAAAAGATTTTAACAGATCACAGAAATACCGCCTATAATGCCATGTCTATGAGATAATTATAAATATGACAGCTTTTCAGAAGAGGAAAAATAGCCTACATAATATATATAAATTCAGTATGAAACACCAACCTCAGAAATTTTGAAATGGGAGACTGTTAAAGAAAACATTTTAGAATCAAAGCAATGTTCTTTGCTAAGAACTGCTAATATGCCTTTTCAGCTTTATATATTTATATATATGTATTTTTAAATTCAAGATAGAGTATGTATTTGGGGAGTTTAGTTAGGGACTGTGATTTAACTGCAAGTTACAATTACGAAGTCAGTTCCAGACCTGGTAGTTGGAAAATCTAAGGATATACTAGCCTGTATAATAGCCACTGGAAGCCCTAGAATTGCAGCGCCTGAACTGCGCTTAGTCTAAATTAAATGAAATATAAAAGCAGGGGGAATCAGGGGGAATTTGAAAGAATTTATATATGTATCTGTGTGTATATACATATACACATACTATATATGTGTGTGTGTGTGTGTGTGTGTGTGTGTGTGTGTGTGTGTGTGTGTGTGTGTGTGTGTGTGTATATATATATATAGTATATATGTGTG